CAAATTTTTCGCGATTTCTAACAGGTTGTTCAGTTCGCTTTGGATTGTTGTGGAATTTACTTGTTTGTTAGTATTAGTTTATTTATTTAGTGGTTATTTCATAAAAGACTATTACAATAGGACAATTAGTAGTGTGATAGTGTATTCTAATAGGGTTCTTATTCAACCGTCAGTTGGTGGTGAGTTACATTACCAATGCCTTTCGTATAATTCGAAATATTTCCGATATCTGGGCTAAAATTCGCAGCAACTGGGTACGCCGCTGTCAGTGTTGCATTGAAGCGAATGCTTCACACAACAAATTTTGTAATTTCTCCAAAATAAAATTGATATTTTAAAATTAAGAAAGGTGTACGGTTAATTTGTATATGTAACCTGATTACAAAACAGTCTAAAAATTACAGTTTAACTAACGTATAACACACCTCCACCACTCTCTATCTTGAGTCAATCTTCACATCTTTCTAACAATAGAGCAACCTACATCTCTATTTGCGAAGAGTAATGCAATTTAGGTGTACCAGTGTTACTTTCTACTTCTGTTTCTGCTTTTAACATAACTCTAACTAGTTCATGCATTAACCTAACACCCTCGATGGCACGCATACACGGCGATTTCCTGTCAAAAGAAGTCTTCAGAAAAATTGTGAAAGAGGAGCTCATAGTTGGCGGATAAAAGTAAGGTGCCAATAGGGTAATTGTAATTGGGCAAGGATGCTAACTTCTGACGGCATGCGGTTAGTACGCGAAACTGAAATGTTAATAGAAAAAGTACAAGTAATAAAAGTTATTGACAGCGATAGAATTGAATACAAAAGAATTTTAATACGTAGGTCCTCCGAAATATTTACACGAGCATAGAGACTCAAAGAGGTATAATAAAAAAAAATTTGGACACCAAGGAATTTAGATGCACAATTTGAAATATATATTTAAAATAATATATAATTACAATAGGATTATTCGTGGAAATATGTACAAGGGTTTTTATATGTATCTATATTTGTTGAACCCGAGATATTTGCATTTATTATTGCTTTAAATATTGTCGGTGCCAAATAGTTGTATGTATGTGGTGTTATTCACCACAAATTTAATACCATTTCTCTACAAACAAGCACCCAATAGAGCCTTGATGTACTTTTCTAACTTTGTTTAATACTGCAGATGAATATGTGAATAGGTTTGTAACGTCAGTGGTTAGTTTAGGTTGTTACTTTGAATTTCTTACATACTTAAAGGGTACTATTTTCATTTGTTTTCGGAAAACGGTATGTATCTCTAAAAGCTTAAAACTAGAAATACAAATGCATTCATGTAGGTCGAACAAAATTCGTATAATAGTTTGAAACGCAAACATGTTTACATATGTAGGTAGGTAATTTTTGAAATGATCAGATGTTTTCTTAGGAGTAGGTTATATGGAACAACGAATTCGCATGGAGATTGTCTCAAAATGCTACATCTCTTTCATTTGCATTATTATTCCGTACTTCAAAGATAACACACTTTTATATTTTTTTTTTACATTTTTCACTTTTTGCTTACTAATCTAATTTGAAATTGAATCAGGGAACTTCTCCTAACCACAATAAAATTATGCAGAATTAGATATAAAATCATTAAACTATATAGATTAATCTCCTTTATTAATATTTTATCATACTTTAAGAAAATACAACAACTCTGATAATTTCCTATTGATCCGTTAATATATAATTTTGTTATAAAAAATTGTAGACGTGAAAATTTTTGTCAGCGTTTTCGTTGACGTGTCCATTCCACGCGAAATCTACGCCCTTTAGTAAATTGTATTGTCTATAGTAAATTGTTTGTTTTTATTGGTTAGAACGAAATATGTTCAGCCTTTGTTTCAGGTCACTTACTTCGTAAACAGCGTCCTACATCACAGTCACCAATTGGTGTCTGATTTTGCTGGTCCGCTCTTCCGCGAATTGATTCTGTTGATTTCGCTACTAAAGCTACTCCCGCAGGACACAGAATGAATTAGTAGTCGGGTCTCGTTTCCAAGACTAAGTTTAAATTATTCTGCAATACAAGCAATCAAGTATCGGTGGAAAACGAAATGGCAACACAACTTGGGAAATAAGTACAATAGTGCAATTGAGGCCAGTCAGAAATACTAAAGCAGTGGTTTTGATAATTGACTTCGAACGTCTTGAAAATTGCTTTCATTCTAATATCCTAAGCTTCCCACTAATTGTTCTGCATGCGCAGGATCATTCAAGTAGATTATTGTAAACAATGGACAATATATAAAGGAAATAGATGAAACCTGTACAATGTACATTATATATCTCTTATTATGCTTCAGAAAGGAGAGATGGAACTTTTAATTTTATGTTGAAGTTATAACAAATAATTTGTCTATTTATATAATTTTCACGTAAATACAAAACTGCGCCCCCATTGAAGAATTCGTGTGTAGGAGGTAAATAAGAGATAAGACGAATATACATGATTCAAATTCGAATTATAAAATCCTTAATTAGTTTATTTTATCTAAAGTTGGGATTTTTAGAAACAAGAAATACTATAAATATGTGCATAAATATAAGTTTTTCAAAAAACTATGTTAAATAAAACAGTTTCAATGAAAAGCTATGAAAGAAGTGAAATGTTATTTATTTAATCTATAATCTTCCACCGACGTTTCGCTTTTTCTGGTCGAAGGCGTTAACAAGGCTATAAATTTTTTATGAACAAAATATTAGTTATAGAAAATACCACAAATGGCGTGGTGAGCGCCA